ACTATTATTATCACTATTATTATTATTATTATTATTATTATTATTAATATCATAATAAATATTATTCACCTCACCCACCTCATACCAGTCATCCAGCTGGATTAGAGAAGTGACAGGAGGAGTTGAATGCAAAGTATCGGCGCTCTTCGGGAGTACATTGCTGCCAGCCGCTGCTCCCTTTTTTACCACCGTCGTCGTCGTCATTCTCTTACCGATCGTGGCCTGACTGGGCTGGACCATTTTAGCCACAGCAATATTCTCCATATTGTTACACACCTATTCAATTAATCAATTCATTACCAACTAACTAATTAAATCAATCAATCAATCAGTCAATAAATCAAATCAATAATCATTGATCACATCTCAGTTTCATGATCCATTCAGTTGACTAAAAAAATTCATCCAGAATGGAATGAATCACTAAAAGAGCAAATCAAATATTGTGTTCATGTTTTTAGGTGAGGAGAATAATAATAATAACAATAACAATAATAATAATAATAATAATAATAATAATAATAATAATACCATTCCATCCTTACCTTTGCAAAAGCACACACACATACAAATATAAATCTTCACCACTTAATCCTGCATCTGTATCTTCACCACTGCTATGGGGCAATATTTTTCTTATGATCAGTACTATTTCTTATGATCAGTATTATTTCTTATGATCACTATTATTTCTTATGATCAGTATTATTTCTTATGATCAGTAACCAATAATTCACATCCCTTAATTTATACGATCCATTTTTCGTTCGCTCTCCTCACGCTCATCAACCAACCAACCAACCAAGCATTCATCAAACAATCACCACCACCACCAGCAGCATAATCACTGCTATCAAATTATCACTGCTCCCAACATATCCTCGTGTACGTGTATAAGTCTCCTTGAGTTGAGGTCAGGCTAAGCCTAGTTAGCCCAGTGCCGCCGTCTGCTGAATTACCTGAGGCTTGGTGTCATCTGCCTGCTGCTGCTGCTGCTACATTGCATTCAATTCCAATTCACTGATAAAACCACCAAATTGACGGTGATAATGATAACGATAATGATTTGATAATGGTAGTACTCTTATGTGATAATTGAGCCTAAGCTAGACCAGAGCAATCGTAGTAATAATAATAATAATAATAATAATAATAATAATAATAATAAAACAATACAGAATAGCGTATTTATTCCCAACACACATCAAGTCTAACAATATAAAATTTTATAAAATTTATCAAAAAAATCACTAATACATTACACAAACAAATAATACATATATATATACCTAATGAAAGCATCATTAACATTGTGCCATCTTAATTAAAAAATCTTCAGAGCATAAATCTTCTCAATAAATTACTAGAAGTGTTATCATAACGAACTAGGCAGCAGCAGCAGCAGCAGCTCGATTATAAGAGTCTCTGAATATTTAAGTGCATTGAGTCTAGAGTGAGTATTTTTTCATTAACTGATCAACTGATTTCATTAACTGATCAACTGATTAACTGATCAATAGATAGATACACTTGGCTTAAAGCTCTGTGAAGACTGTCGGTGACTGTACTGCTGCCCAGATCGTCATGTGCACCCACCCGGTGCAAGCCCGGGCCGGGCCGGGCCGGGCCGGGCTAATGTTTAGTCTTTATGAGATCACCATTACAGGTGATCGTCGCTAATTAGCTAAGTTAGGTTAGATCTCCAGATTTACACTTTAATTAGGGCAAACGAGACTGGTTAATTTTCACAGCAACAGACAACAGACACTGTTATAATGGTAACAGCTAAAAGAGATAACAGATAACCAGTTGGGCAATAGATATGTCAAATCAGAAAATCAGTTTAAACCACCACCACCACCCATCCGATCCGATCCGGTCCGATCCGATCCGGTTAAAATCTAACCTAACTTAGCTAGCTGCCCTGCGCATGTAAAGCCATTTGCAAGAGCTGAACATGCAGCAGTAGCAGCACAATACTATCACATACATACATGCAATATATCATAGATATATTATGCGTTACGTTGCATTTAAATACTAAAAATTATCACAACATAATTATATTCTACTAAAGTCTATGTATGTGTGTGTGTACAATAGCAACTAACGACATCTCACCATATCAATAAATTATCAAATAAGATCACCACCATATACACTACCACATCAACTAGAGAAGCTTAATTAATGAGCTTAATTAATGCAATTAAACATTCATTCAAAACATTCGAATAATCAGTTGAGATTCCGACTGCAGCAAATTCATATCAAAAGAGAGCAATGTTTACAGCATTAGCAGCAGTATATGGCATTAGCATTACACATAATTTAACATGAAACATAAAATTGTAAAAGGTAAAAGTAATCATATTCAGTGATTTCAGTTCAAGTGCTCACTTGAAGTAATTACTTTGATCAAATTAATTACTTTAATTACTTTAATCAAAACCACTTAATTTTCCAAATTTCTCTTCAGTACAATTAATAAATTTGCACGCACACACACCTCATTGTAACATTGAATGCTAAGCGACTGCAGTAATTTTTTAAAAACAACCAACTAATACAGTACACTCGCTTGCTCTCATATTTATGTATCTATCGTGGCGGCCTTCTATTAAGCGCTATAGATAAATTCTTTCAGTAGCAATATATCAAATTAAAATCAATACGATCGGATGAGATGAGATTCGCATATGAAAGAATTTGAGAAGCGTTTAGGCAGAATAAAATCTCACATCAGCAAACAAACTAATAACCGAATGAATAGAGCAGCATGAAGAGATAGATGGATAGATAAATAGATGCATATTATAGATAGATATATGCCTATATGGCAGACATCTTCTTTGGAGTATTTTAATTGGAGCAACAACATTGATTTTTTGAAGTTTTAATTATAAAATAACTTCTTAGCTTTTGGCTTTAAGCATTGGAACGGCTTGTTCTTCAGCTATTGAAGCTGAATGGTTGATTGTTCGAATGAATAGAATATGATTACCACTGTGGATTAAGTGGATCTTGGGGATTGAACCCAGGCGGATATTCCGGCTGTGGGAAATCGTTTTGATATCGGACCTGACCACTGGACGTGGAGGAACCGAATGCTGCCGCTTTCACACCACCACCACCACCTGGGGGTGGTGGTAATGGGGGTGGCTGCTTAGATTTGGCTGCTGCTTGCAGGCCTAGTGGTTGCTGGCCTAGAGCGCCGTAACCCTGATAGAAATCTGGTGTGGCGTTTAGCGCTGTTCGTGGATAGCCATCCAAAGCAGTCTCCTCACTCAACTCCATATAATGTTGATTGGATGAGGACGTTAATTTGGTTCGATCATCAGTCGTTGTGCCAAGCGTTTCATACAAATAGACCTTTCGCAAGAAACTCAGCACCGGTAAATAGGCCAGATTCAACACGCAGATGATGACATTCAACGCAAAAAAGCCCATTGTCGAGACCACACCGCCGGCAATAATCGGTCCAAAAGCATACGCTAGACTGTATGAAATGTCTGCGATCGCGTAAACACTCCCATAAACACTCGCATGACGAGTATCCACCAGATAACCCAACATCGGCAGCAATGATGTATCGATAAGCGCTATACCAAAGCAGATCGTCGAGAGCGGCAAAATGAGTTGTGCCACCGAAGTGGTCATCGGCACAACGAAACAACTCAAACCCTCCATGGCTAGACCGACTGCCGCTAGAAGCCATTCCTTTTGTGGGAAACGTCGCATCAGTTTTACGGTCACGTAAACACCCAGCACATGCGGGAAGAATGCCGGAAACCATATCATGCCAACCATCCAGCCGGGTGTATCGGGCATTGTTGCCGCCATCCATGTGGTGATTGTGGGCTCAAGAAACGCCAAACTGATATTCGCCATTATCAGCGCTCCCGAGCAGATTGCCACATAGTGGTCCATGAACAATCGCCACATTGGAGTGCCTTGTACACGTTCACCACTCACCACATCGATGGGTTTATTGGGTTTCGGTTGAATCACCATGAATACCATGAAACCGTCGAGTAGACAAATTAACGACAGTATCAGGAAGGGCACCGGCTTACCGGCCAGCGAGTAGAGCACCGAGCCGAATGGTGGCGCCACCAGACAACCGAACGAGATGAACGCCAACGCGATGCCCAACGCCGCCGAGCGCTCGTTCTCCTCACTGAATCGATCAGCGATCATCGCCAAACCCGACGTGTCCGCGAACGCTGAGCCGAATCCCTGCAGTAAAACAAAACTAAAACTTTTTTTTTAAATCATCTCTTTTTCCAGCGACCGCGATCGATAATCAATCCAATCAGTCTCAAACAAATCTTCCACTAAGCAACTTCTCAAATAATGATTGTATCGATCAATCGATTGCTGCTTGATCGATTGATTTCTAATTGATCACCCACTAAACTAAATGTCCGAATCTGATCCTGATTCTTGGAACATCAAAATGAATAAATTGAATGAGAATGCAAGCAAAATGGAGCCACTTAAGAGCACAAAACAAATCTACCAACATATGATTATTCAACATCTTTCACATGAAATACAGTTCACAGTAGCCACTAATAAAGTAACCAGCTTACAAGTAAATGAAGTAAGTGTTTTCTCTAATATTCACTCCTCAAATCTATAGCAACAGCTTCTGCTGCTATGCTAGTTATTGTTACTAGTAAGTATAAGTATAAGTAAGCTCCTAAAAGCTAAAATCAACCATCAACTAATAATAATTAAACAATAATAATATTAACAGCCAATTAAATAACAGCCTCAAATCAATCAAAACCATCATCAACTTACTTGTAGTGATCTGGCGAAGAACAGCACCCCATAGCTGCGCCCGAGCGCAAAAATTGCCGTCGATGTGAACATCACACATAGGCCAATGATCATTGGTAGCTCATAGCCGATTCGATCGATAATATATCCAGAAAATGGATTGATCACAATCTGCACCAACGCTTTCGACGCGAACAACCAGCCCAGCTCGAGCTCTTCGTTCACGTAGTCAATCTGACCACCGGTCATTCTCACGATGACCGTACCATTCTTGTAACGTTGTGTCTCATTATGATAGCCGACGAACTCCACATCGTAGGCATGTATGTCACGCAGATACTTCGGTATGATCGGTACGATCACCATATACAGCATATTGTCCAGGAGCAGTGCTATGGACACGATCACCAGCACGAGTCTCTTCTGCATGCGTGGCTCTTGCACATGCTCGTTGAACCATTTCTTACACCATTCACTGTCACGATTGATCAATGGCACGTTGAAGCCCATTTTGATCGATTAATTATTGATCGTTGTCGTTCTATTGATTGATCTTGATCAGAATATTGCACTGATCAATATTCAGTTTATTGATTAATCTGCCTGCCTGCCTTGCACGAAGTTTAATGATCGCGTAAATGTAATCTTAAATTTGCTGCTCTCAACCTGCCGTATGTAATATAATCAGAATTCAACAACAAACAGAATAAATCAACAATAATAGACTACCAGCGTTTACTTAACAATAACAACAGAACATTATTACAGGACAGATCACTAACAAATACTGATCAATACTGATCAATATGACTGATCAATATCAATATGCTCAATACGATTAAAGCTATAGACTTGCAGTGAAGCTATTCGAATACACAATAGGATGCACAATGTGAAAATTTGAGTGGCTGCACAAAAGTAGGTATGAAAGTAAGCAGTAGTTAAAAGTAATACTAGATACGGGTAAAGTAGATAGTAGGGTTTGGTTGTATGTTTCAGGTTTAATTCAATGCAACTGAATCGATTCAACGAATTGAGTTGAGTTGAAGCAGTGTTGTAATGCAATAAGACGACACAAAATGAAGAAGCAGAGCAGTAACCAACCAACTCAAGGCGTGACCAAAATTAAAATCTCTTAGATTTATAGATTTACTAGACAGACAGATATAGTAGTAGTTGATAGGTGGATGGATGGGTAGGTTGGTAGGTACAACCAAAGAAAGCAACAGCACTATTACCAACCAGCCAAATTCACCAAATATACGACGACGATGACGCAAGATTACTGCTCAGCCGGCTCCACTCGATCTGCTCAATTCAGTCAGTTTCACTTGGCCGGGCTGTTCGGCTGCACTGGGCGTGTCAGTAGCCTAAGCAAAAGCCAACACAACAGGCACCCAAGTTTAGAGCTTAAGCTAAGGCTTAGGCTTAGGCTTAGGCTAGCAGATTTCTTAAATCAACTGCTTCTCGCAGATTGATGACAACGATAAGACAAGATGCGATGCTTAGGCGATGCGATACGTTCGGATATTAGGGCCACTACTGATTGACAGTCTAAACGAATGAATTGCCGATGAGTTGCTGCCACTATCTAACTTTAAAGATAGATATAGATGGATGGATGGATGGATGGATAGATAGATAGCTAGTCTTCTTTCAAAAGCACAATGATGTAACAACAAAAAATAACGGTTAATTGCATACAAGCTTAATCATAAGCTTGAGCATGTATAAACGATATACTCTCGTTTCCTTTGCAATTGCTTTACAATCGCTACTCACTATATCTGTTACTCGTTTCAAATGACACTTTCTTAGCTTTTGCTTTTCAGACTCCTTTCAGACGTCTAATTTGAATTCTTCGAATGAATAGGATCTGCAGCACAACTCAACTTTAGCAATAATAACAACATATGAATAATTAGAGTAAGTAATGAGTTGAGTAGAGTACTTTTAAAGAGACACACTAATTAATTAAGACCAATTAAGTTTAGCACCGATTATTCAGATTACAATAATAATAATAAGTGGCTGCTAAATCAAATGATGATCAACAGCAGCAGCAGTTCCGATAATACAATCAATTTTGATTTTATGGCGACGATAGCAGCAAAGAAATCTAAATTGCTTGAATTCGTCTAAGTTACACGCACTCACCACAGAATACACTTACTTACTTACTTACTTCCAAAGTTACAATAACAGTAAATGAATAATGTCCACTCTAATGTACAACTCAAACAAGTAACAACAACAATAACAATTGCGCTTCGTTTTATGAATAACTAGAGTGAGTAATGAGTTGAGTAGAGTACCTTCAAAGAGACAGACTAATTAATTAAGACCAATTAAGCTTAATTAAGCTTGAACGGACCGATCGTCTTCAATAAAATGAGATACACAATGGCAATGAAAGAAAGAAATGTCTGCTGGCAATGTAAAGAAGCGCTTGCACAAATTTTACTGCACAAATTTCAGAGATTTTCAATGAATATTGAATTTGATTCACTTGCAACCAAATAATCGATCGATCCAGTCGTCCAGTCAGAAGCAATTGTGAAAAATCATAAAATTTTACGGAAAAACCAACAAAAATTTATGACCAACTTACTTTTACTTTTACAGTTAGTAATGAATTGATGTGAATGACAAACACTAAACTGAGAGCAAACTCGATTTAGAGATAGATACGAACGAGATAGACACCAGATAGGCCGGCCGATAGATAGACAGGCGGCACACACTGTCCGATAGATACTGCAAAATAAATTATAATCTAATAATCACGGCCTGCTTAGAGAATGAGAGAGAGAGCGGAGCGTGTAACAAGCAACTAAAATAGAGTGCGACGGTGACGACCTTAGACGGTGGATTACGGTAAGAGGCTGGTTGGCTGGTTCGTTCTCGTGCTCGTGATTGGTGGATAGATAGATAGTTTTAATGGTTTGATCGTTGCTGCTGCTGTTGCTGCTGTTGTTGTAGACGTTATTGTGCTGCAATTTGTTGTATATGGTGGATTGACTGTACTGGAATGGACTGCGTAGTGCTGCTACCTGCCGCTGAAGTGCTGGCTGGTAGGTAGGTATTGGCTGAAGTGATCAGTAGATTGATGATTGATTGGTTGGATGACGATCGGCTGAGTGGATTTGCTGCCTGGCTGCTTTTGAAGGCTGTGACGAAGATACAAACTGGTGCAGTAGCTGCTGCTGTTAGATAAAGTGATAAATTGATGAACACACTCTATCATCAGCAAACATCAATCTTATCGATGCAGATGCTTTTCTATGATTCGATCAGATCAGCTCAGATCAGATCAATCAGGTGAGTTCAGATCAGATCAGATCAGCTCAGCTCAGGTGCTCAGGTGAAGAAGAAGGTTATTGAATGGTCCGTACCGTAGCAGCCAGTTAATGCCTAAAAATAAAGAAATCAGTTTTTTTGCTGTTAATGTTCTTTAATTGTTTAATTTTTGATTTAGTCATAGAAGAAAAGGATGATTCAACATCCAGCATTCAATCTAAATCTAATAAAAAAAGCATTTGGCAGATGCGTGCGTTCACGTCAAATGATTGGTAGATCAACAAAATGCATGTTCACAGATTTTCGATCAGTTCAATCCAATTTAAATCAGATCAATCAGCTAAGCCGCTGAGCTGAGCTGAACTGAACTGAGCTGCTCAACAATACCACGGACGGACCATCCAATAAATTCATAATCACCGTATCACATTATCATTATTATTAACCGTAACAGTCGCACTGCCCTTATCATATCACCATCGTTATCATTATCATTATCATTACCACTATCATTATCATTATCACCATCATTATCAGTATCATTATCAGTACTATCACCACCTTCACCTCATAAACCCATTCAATCCACAAAACCAACCATGCAAATGAGATATCCTCTAGCTTTACGCCGCCGCCTACTGTAGATTTTCTATTGAATAAATTAGAACAAAACTCATATTTGCGCATTCCATTCAAACCAAACTAATACTCTAATGTAATTCTAATGATTTTGTGAAGATATCAGACGAATATTAATTTTAAAGATACAAAATCAAATACTATATAATATGCTGTTTGCGGTCGATATGATATGAAACAAACAACGTTAGATGCGCTAAGAAATCAAGCCTGAATGGCTTCGACTCAATCGAATTTGGCTAATTTTCAAGCAGAGTTCAATGAAGAATCAATCAATCAATCAATCAATCAATCCAACTGCCAAACACTTCAGTGCGTTCTATAAGCTTATGCTTATTTCGCTTAAATGAAACAGCCAGCCAGCCTAAACAAGCATCACACCATGACCGAGAGCTGAACAAATTTTTACGCCGCCCAGCATACTTCTGCTGCTGCTGGCCATATTTGGGCCAAACTTGCTTGGCCACTTGGCCACCAACTCTCATATTTCAAGACAGACGACTTGACTTTGCTTGGCTTAGGCTTGACTTTAGTCTCAAGCTCTTGGCCAACCAATCAATCGCTTCGATCAATAAGCGATCGATCAATCAAAATTGCCGATCAGTAGGTTGCAATCACACCACCAATCAGAAGCCAGTTGAAAGCAGTCGCATTGCGCCAGTGATTATCGCCAACAAAACAGTTTTTAATCTGAAGGAATGAAGAGAAACTAATAAACTGATTGACTAACTTTATTTTAAGATTGATCAGAAGATGGATGGATCGATGGATGGATCGATGGATGGATCGCTGATAAATATAAGACGGACGGCTTAGCGTAAGCAGTTACAGCTCTCTTCTTCAACAGTAGCTACACGAATACAGTGGCGATATTTGGGCACGATAATATTCTTTGATTGATATTCAATTTGCTTTATTACTCTTATTGTTATTATATTAATATTATTATCCACGTATTATTGTTATTTTAATATTATTATTATTATTATTATTGTTATTATTATATTCCAATGCACTCAGCTGACCAAATTTCTTTCAAATCAATTTCCATTGATTACTCATCACCATCATCATAATCACCATTTCATTCAGATGAACGTTGTCTTGAACACCAACTAAAAATACATGCAAACATAATAAGTTTTACTCTTCTTTCGGATTACTGCTATCGTAGTAACAATTATACTAGTAATAATAGTTACAATTACAATAATAATAATTACAATAGTAATAATAATAATAACAATTGAAATGTAAATGGAAAACAATACCGCAAAAAAATCAACATTAACTACGATAAACAGTATAATCGAATAAGTTCAGGTAAGTATCCGCTAAAATGGCTATATTTTGGCTTACAAGTTGTGATAAGTAAGTAAGTAAGTAAGTAAGTAATCACCTCAAAGGTTTATGCAAAACATAGAAATATCAATACTAGGCACAAATAACACTATGGTTCTACAGATTCTTGCTCGATGCGCTTTATTCAGATTATTCAGCGCTATTTGTCATATTCGACGCATAATTTTCGTAATTTAGAATGATTTAATTCATTTGTGAATGCATTTAAA